CTCAGACTTCCCTGGTGGTGCAGTGGTTAAGAATCTGCCTGCCAATGCAGGGGACACGGGTTCGAGCCCTGGTCGGGGAAGATCCCACATGCTGCGGAGCAACTAGGCCCGTGTGCCACAACTACTGAGCCCACAGGGCACAACTACTGAAGTCCATGCGCCTAGAGCCCGTGTTCCACAATGAGAGAAGCCACCGCAATGAGAAGCCCGCGGACTGCAATGAAGACCCAACACAGCCAAAAATAAATAAATAAAATAAATAAATTTATTTTTAAAAAAAGAAAACTAGAAACAGAACTACCATATGATACAGCAATCCCACTCCTGGGCATATATATCTGGAGAAAACCATAATTTGAAAAGATACCTGAACCCCTATGTTCATAGCAGCATTATTTACAATAACCAAGACATGGAAGCCACCTTTGACAGAGGAATGGATAAAGAAGTGGTACGTGCATACAATGGAGTGTTACTCAGCCATAAAAAAAGAACGAAATAATTCCATTTGCATCGACGTGGATGACCTAGAGATTATCATACTAAGTGAAGTAAGTCATACAGAGAAAGACAAATATCATATGCTATCACTCATATGTGGAAACTAATTTTTTAAAAAATGATACAAATGAACTTATTTACAAAACAGAAACAGACTTACAGACATTGAAAACAAACTTATGGTTACCAAAGGGGAAACGTCACAGTATAGGGATAAATCAGGAGTTTGGGATTAACATACACACACTACTATATATAAGATGGATAAGCAACACGGGCCTACTGTATAGCACAGGGAACTCAGTATTCTGTGATAACCTATATGAGAAAAGAATCTGAAAAAGAATGAGTATATGTATATGTATAACTGAATGACTTTGCTGTACACCTGAAACTAACACACTGTAAATCAACTATACTCCAATAAAACTTTAAAAAATAAAATAAAATCTCTTTCTTTAAAAGGGAAGTCAAAACAGTATCTATTTGATAATGTGGTGAGGATTAAATGAGGCAATGCATATGAATCGCTTATCCCAGGCTGAAGTACTGAATAATTTATTCTTATTTTGCCAAGTACACAGAAGTTGAAAGTCTACGGTCACCGTGGTTTTCTTGTTGTTGTTCACCTCCACACCACGAGTGGCGCTGCCGCCCCCAGGCTGACCAGGCTCAGGGTCAGGGAAGTCTGTCTAGCCGCGGTCGCCGCCATCTTAGGACACAGGCCTCCCACACCCATCGTGTGTGGCTGCTTCGTGCAGTCTTAGAAGCAGACCCTCTCGCCAAGACACCGAGCCTCTTACCTCCTTAGGCTCTCCGTTAAGTAAGCTGTATTCTCGAGCGCGTTTTAATCTCCTTGGAAACGCTAAAATCGGCATCTTCCGGGAGCCGGCCTCGACCCGTGACCGCAGACGTACACTTCCGGGGACAAGTGCGTGACCCGTCGCCCCGCCCTCTCCCTCTCTTCCTTTTTGGTGTCTGATTCTGGATAAGGCGAGTAGGTAGGATCCCTGGGCGAGGAAAATCGGGTGGCATCCTGCGGCACGGGGACCCGCCGGGGCCGGGGGCGCGGGGCTGGGGTCTTTCCGTGGAAGACAAACCAAGTGCCGGGTGAGAGGAGCTCGGCGGGCCGACCCAGACTCTGGTTCGCGCCCCGTCTCGGGAGGCGGCGGTCTTGCTTCAGGGAAAAGCCGGTAAAGCAGGGGTGAGTTCGGGTCTAGCCTCGAAGGCATAGGCCCCGCGCCACGACCACACCTGCGCTGAAAAGGCAGCACAGCGTGGTTGATTGGGAAAGGAGCGGGAAATTTAGTCTGTTGTGACCTCCCACCTTTACCCCACCAGCTTTTTCGTGGGCGGTCGCAGGCCGGTCCCCTGATTTCTAGTTTGTTTTCGATCTGGAAAGTAGGGAATAGTCGTACGAATTCCGTGGGGATGTAGTGAGGATTCCAGAGGGGAATGCAGAAAAAATGGCCCTTCGTTAGGTGTTTCCTAAATCTGAGTGACTGCTAAGTCGGGCACGTTTTAATTTCTGGGCGCTCGGGGCAGGTTTCTCAAAGCCAGAAATTAGGGAAAGGCTTAATTTCTCCTGACATCAGTGTTTGTTGAGCATCTACCGTGCGCCTATTGCCGCTGAAGGCCGAGACGAGGGACGCCCAAATCTTGCCAGGGTGGGCTGGGAGGTGCAGGGCAGGGTTAGTTAGCCTCCAGCAAGCGACACCTGGAAATCCTGAGCGCTGGCGTGTTCGCGGCGTGGGGCGGGAGAGCAAGTGCCCGCGTGTCCCGCGCACCTTTCTCGGGGGAGCAGTTATTCCCAGAGAAGTAAACCTTGGGGTTTTCTGTCGTTAACACTGGGATTCTTTTTTCTTTCCTTAAGAAATGGCACCTCGCAAGGGGAAAGAAAAGAAGGAAGAACAGGTCATCAGCCTTGGTCCTCAGGTGGCCGAAGGAGAAAATGTATTTGGTGTGTGCCACATTTTTGCATCCTTCAATGACACTTTCGTCCATGTCACCGATCTTTCTGGCAAGTGAGTACCTAGGTGGAGAGGCCCAGGACCCAATTAACAAGGGTTGGGGTTAGAAACGACCCTGGAACTGGGTGGCAGTTTAAGGGGATCTCTTGAAATAAATGTTGTAAAATGTTCAAATAAGGATATGTGCTTGGTTGATGAGTCCACAGATGGTGTGATCTCCTAGGTACTGGAGTTCTGAGAGAGAAGGAAACATTTTGTGCCCTTATGGGCTTACAGCATGGGGACCTCGTATGTAACATGAGGAGAAATTACTCATGGAGTAATAGGAGGATTAAATGTAAAAGTACATGTAAATCGTCGATACAGAGCTTAGTTATCTAGGATCTGAACCCCATCAAGGCAGAGCCCGTGGCAGTCTTGTCAGATCAGGATGCATGTTCAATTGACCTTCATTCTCTGTCCTACCTGAGTAGTAGTGCTTTTTATTCATTAGGATGTGGTATGCACTCTGAATCCTTGTTAGGTAGGAAAGAAAGGACCCTGTGCATTTGTCCCCAGGGAAACCATCTGCCGTGTAACTGGTGGGATGAAGGTGAAGGCTGACCGAGATGAATCATCTCCATATGCTGCCATGTTGGCTGCCCAGGATGTAGCCCAGAGGTGCAAGGAGCTGGGCATCACTGCCCTCCACATCAAACTCCGGGCCACAGGAGGAAATAGGTAAGGCTGGGACTGGGCAGTGCGGTCACTGGGCTTGGGCAAGACATCCTAGGTGTGTACATAATTAATACAGGCATGCCTCAAAGATGCTGTGGGTTTGGTTCCAGACCACTGTGTTGAAGCAAATATATCAGTAAAGCAAGTCATGTGAATTTTTTGTTTTCCCAGCATGTATAAAAGTTAACGTTTACACTGTACTGTATGTAGCCTACTGAGTGTGCAGTAGCATCATGTCTTTAAAAAAAAAAAAACCAATGTACATAATCTTAAGTTAAAAATAATTTGCAGCTAAAAAAAATTTCTAACCATCTGACAATGAAGGGTTGCCAGAAGCCTTCAATTTGTTTTTTTAAAAAAGGCATTATCTGTGAAGTGCATTAAAATGAGATATGCCTATAACTGGTTCCTGCACCCTCCCCTGCGCCAACTTACTGTGTTAATTGAGCACTCGGAGCATACGAGGTACTGTGTTCTAAGTACTAGAAGAGAGTGATGGGGGAAAATAGATATGGTCTCCATCCTCCTACGTGGCTTTTAGGCTGGTGGAGAGTCAGGCTTTAAGCAGTATAGAGCAGGGGAGCATGTGGTTTCTTTTTGCAGCAAGTGCTGGGAAGCAAAAATATGTCAAGGGTGGGTTGGTAATAAAGTTTAAGACCTAATGTTGTGGTGTTAGAAGTCAGTCCAGTGAAGGAAGGACAGGGGAGAGTATTCCAGCCAGGAACAACTGGAAAGAAAAGGTCTTGGGGTGGAAATGAGCTTGGCACATCTGTGGAAAAGAGTGGCATGAGGTGTGATAAGATAGGAGCGGGTGAGGTCCTGCTGGGTCTTGAAGAACCTGGTTAAGATTTGGACTTGGGCTGGGGGGGGGCATGAAAACTTGTTAACAGTAATGACCTGTTGAGGTTGGGTTATATGATATTTATTTTATTGTTGTTATTTGTCTTTTTTTTTTTTGCGGTACACGGGCCTCTCACTGTTGTGGCCTCTCCCGTTGCGGAGCACAGACTCCGGACGCACAGGCTCAGTGGCCATGGCTCACAGGCCCAGCCGCTCTGCGGCATGTGGGATCTTCCCGGACCGGGGCACGAACCCGCGTCCCCCGCATCGGCAGGCCGACTCAACCACTGCGCCACCCGGGAAGCCCTGTTATTTGTCTTTTAAGATGACTGCTGTGTTGGGAACAGACAAGATAGGAAGTTGTTAAAGTGGTCCAGTGGACCGATGATAGTGTTGTGGTCTTGGGAGGATGGAAAAGGACAGATCACCAGAAACACTTAGAATCACAGCATGTGACCAAAAGGGGCACTTCCTTAAACAGGGTACAGGCAGAGCAGGATACAAACTGTGACCCATGGTGCTGGGGGGAGTGTGTGACAAAAAGTAAGTGGCATACTAAGCCTGAAGTATTTACGGTCTGGCCCTTTGCAGAAAGAAAGTTTGTAGAGCCCTGAACTAGAGGGTCGTGGGATCTTCTAATGACTTGGCCAAAGGCTTTTCTTAATTTAGATATTCATATCCTAGGACCAAGACTCCTGGACCAGGGGCCCAGTCAGCCCTTAGAGCCCTTGCCCGCTCAGGAATGAAGATTGGGCGGATTGGTGAGTGCCCCTCTTTGGCTTATGCTTGGATTTGCTTTGAAGCACTGACCCTGGAAAGCATGTGGTCTGCGCAGTGGATACAGGGCCTAGTCTGGTAACTTTTGGCAGTTAGGTTTGTTAATAGGGAGTGCAAGAGGCACCATGTGACATAAACTCTCTCCCTGAACACCCTTGTTGCCTTGATGTGAATGTCCTGCATTGGGACAGCGCCGTCTCATTTCTGAACTTCTCTGCCTGATGGTGACTGGTGGAACTGACAGGAGATGAATTGTCCTTTCCAGTGTTCTCATGGGGGTTGCTATTGGTATTTTGCAGGGGGTGTCTCCTGCGTGATGACTGACTACTCAATATCAGTAGGGCAGGCCAGGCATTGTGACAGGAGTGTATGGAGGGGGCAGTAGTTCCCATGGTTGAGAATCACAGCAGTTCTCTACATTTGTGTAGTATTTACACCCTCATGTCTGATCTGGCCATTTATAGCTCTTAGGAAGGAGATGTTAGCCCTTCCCTATTGTTTCTGTGGCAACGTGTACTGATCCCTCAGTCTAATGGTCTAGCCCTCACAAGATTTTTTTCAGAACATTTTCAACCTCTTAGCTATTAAAAAGGAGATATTCAGTTTATGAGGATTTTTCCACTAGAGTCAGTCAGTGTGCTAGGTGTCAGAAACCTGGATTTATCACCTGCCTCTGACATCCTGTGCGAGTTACCTACTCTGAGCTTCAGTTTCCCCTTCTGGTAAGTTGAGTTCAAACCACATCAGAAATTTTGAGGAAGCAGCAGATGGGGCAGCTCCACATCTCTCTGTTAAATACTGAGGACTTAACTTGTGAAGCAGCAGGATCCACTGCTGATCCGTGAGACCATTTGGCCTAGGGAGGCCTGGAACCCTTCCCATCCAGCTCCAGGCAATGATGTTTTCTCTTCCTCCCCACAGAGGATGTCACCCCCATCCCCTCCGACAGCACCCGCAGGAAGGGGGGTCGCCGTGGTCGCCGTCTGTGAACAGGACTCCTCAAATTATTGTTTTCTGTTAATAAATTGCCTGATGTAAGTTCTTTTCGACTCTAGTCTTTTCTCCTTTGTGTAGGGGCCACCCTTGGGGATATTTTAATTCCTTCCTCCTGTATTTAACCAGGGTGTGGGACTGTGTTGAGGTCATGGGTGCGTTGATAAACCAGCAGCCATTTAATAGATACATTGCTTCAGAGAATGTATATAGCCTGTCAAAGAGGAGCACAAGAGTTACTGATTCAGCCCCTGCCATGGGACAGGGTGAGCCTGTGTTCTGTGAACTGGTTTCCCGGGAGGAGGAGCCTAAGGAAAGGTGAGATAATGGTGGCTGCGGTTGGGTCTTTTCTACACTGCTTGTTGTGGTGTTAAGTTACCTCAGTCATCTAAAGCCAACCAAGGCCTTGAAGACCTTGTTTTGAAAGTGAAGGTGTTGATTCCAAAAATGGACCAGTTCTTAAAGAGCGGGAGTGGAGTGGAAACTGTGGAGCTAAGTGTATGTAGCCTGAGCAGAAGAGCCTTCCAGACAGCCATATATAAACACGTGTGGGTGTGTACTCGCCCCCCCCACACCTTCTGTGCAAAAAAGGGATCGCACTCTTGCATCTTGCTTTTTCTCACTTGGCAGATCTTGGAGGTTGTTCCACATCAGTACATAAAGTACATAAAGATTCGGTCACCCACAAATACACACCAAGCCCTATTTTCGTCGGTGATGAAAGTTTCTGCTTTCCGGAAGCATGCATCCAGCTCCAAGGACCCAGTGGCACCAGATGGTACTGAGTGTTCTGCGGAGGCTTAGCATAGCGCTGTGTGATAGTGACTGCTACCCCAAGGCAAGACAATGGCATAATGTTTTCAGGGTTCATCACAGCATGTTTCAGAACTTCATTCCTTTTTATTGCTGATTAATGTTCCATTACCTTGATACACAGATCTCTTCACAGTTCTCTTCCAACTTGGAAGAACCTTGGAGAGGTGGGTCTTGCCATGGCTCCTACCAACTTACCCTGTGTGATGGACAAGCCATCTTTTTTGAGTCTCTTTGTTTCTTCATCTTAAAAATGAGTGATTACAGCCCAAAGTATAAAAATGAGTCCATGCTGTTGCAGGTGATTTGAATAAATTAAGCCATAAATCTTAAAAAGGATTCTAAATAAAAGTAGATGCTCCCCCTTCCAGTAAGTGGAACTTACTGTGGGCTAGACTTAGTGACTCATGAACATGGAAGAGGGAAAATGTTAACTTTGTTCTGGAGAGACCTTAACCAAACTATTAAGGTTGCTTAACACTTCTGATATATCATGTTGATAGTACTCTGACTTGACAAGATGAGCACTTCACCTCTGAATTCTCTCTGAAAACCCATAGTCCAGTTAGAGGACATTCTACAGCGTTGTCAACATTTAGATGGTCAAAAGTTATGAAAAACAAGGACTTAAGACCAGAGGAGGGACTTCCCTGGTGGCACAGTGGTTAAGAATCCACCTGCCAATGCAGGGGACAGGGGTTCGATCCCTGGTCCAGGAAGATCCCACATGCCAAGGAGCAACTAAGCCCGTGCGCCACGACTACTGAGCCTGCGCTCTAGAGCCCGCGAGCCACAACTACTGAAGCCCATGCACCTAGAGCCCGTGCTCCGCAACAAGGGAAGCCACTGCAATGAGAAGCCTGCGCACCACAACGAAGAGTAGCCCCCGCTCGTCGCAATTAGAGAAAGCCCATGTGCAGCAACAAAGACCCAATGCAGCCAAAAATAAGTAAATAAATTTATTTAAAAAAAAAAAAAAAAGACCAAAGGAGCTGAAGGAGATGTGATATAATGCATTGGATCCTGGACCAGAAGAGGCATTAGTATAAAAGCTAATAATATCTAATCTGGAGTCCAATTAGTAGTAATGTACCTATGCTCATTAGTTTTGAGAAATGTATTGTTATAATGTAAGATGTTAACATGAGAGGAAACCAAATGAGTGTTACACAGAAACACCATACCTTTGCAACTTTTTGGTAAATCTTAAAGGATTCCAAAGTAAACATTAGGGGGAAAAATGAGGGTACTTTTCTACTGTCATTCTGGTTTCTAAGGCAGGACGTAGTGCACAGACCCTCAAGGTATGCATTCCAGGATGAAAATCCCAGTTCTCCAGATTTGGACTCTAACCTCAGGCAAATTATTTAACCCCTCAGCCCTTTAGTGAAAATTCCTGTGATAAGGGCAGCCTCATAGGGCATCACAAAAATAAGATTAAAGCGTTTTAGCACAGTGCCTGGCGCCGAAGAAGCTGCTGCTATTCTTATGCCTGTTCAGTTCTTCTGCCAAGCAGCATGAATGACAGCTGGCTGGAATCCGGGTGGGAAAATGCTGGCGCTTGCTGGAGCGTTCTTTTTATTTCCTGTGATGGGACTTTGCAACCTGTCCTGCTGTTTCCTGGTAACAAGGGATGCAGTCAGCCAGGTCTTTGAAAGCAGTTCATTTCTAGGTTTTGTTTGCAAGTTACAAGGAGAGCTAATTGGTGCAGCCCAGGTTGGAATGTAAGCAGCCTCCTGGCCACTGTGGTGGACAGGGCAGGACTCGAGATGTTGCCCGCCCTGAGACTGCAGACCATGGAAGCCCAGTTGCTGGCTGTAAGTGCAGCCTCAACCAGGGCCATGGAGATGGTCCCTACTTCTCGCTCCTTTCTCTTACCTGAGCTCCTGCAACAGTCCCTCCAAGTCTCCCTGTCTTCCCCCAGGCCCCTGCCTATCCCTAGGCCACACTGCAGCTGTGTGATATAAAATTAATTGGATTCTGTCACTATCCTGATATTTTATCCCTGCCCCATTCTTCAGTCTAGAAGCCAATCTCCACGAATCTCCAGTGTTTTATCTAACCCTGCCATACCCTTCACCCTCTCTGCCCAAGCCAAACCTAGTTCCTTTCATTTTTCCAGTTCTCCATGCCTTCAAGTCTTTTGCTCATGCTTCCCCCTCCCAGCCTGGCTCCTTCAGTATCTCCTCTCCCCAACTTGGCCTCACTACCTTCTGTTCACCTGTTGGAATCAGTTTTTCATCACTCGCAAAGTTATCTTCCTGGATGCCCCTCAAGATGCTTCTCCTCTCAGTTCCCCCAACACCCTTACTCTCGTGGTACCACTAGTTTCCCTCTGTTCTAATAGCCTATTTCCCCACTAATCTGTGAGCTCTGAGAGGGCAGAGAGTATGTCTTGTTCAGTGTCTGCCAGCCCAGTCTGCAAAAGTAGGGGCTCTATAAAGATTTGTTTGATGAATCATTGAAAGAATGGGCTTTGCCTTCTGTAGTCAATTAGATAATTGAAGGACTTTTCTAGATCCTGGATACATTAAAACAAACATGCATTCTTGGGCTCTATTCCCAGGGGAGTTAAAGAAATGAGAAAGAAAAGGACATTAAGATGAAATGCATTAGGGAGCAGAGAGCTGTAGGCAAATAAAGCTGGGGTAGCCCTCTGGGCACATACTGGAGTCAGTGCCCAGAGATTAAGTTTAGGCTCTGCCCTCGGCCCCATGCATAGCCCCAAGGTGAGGGAACCGAACTTGACCTTCATATTAAGCCAGAAATCCTCAGATTTCAGAGCTAATGTGGTCCCAGGTGGGAGTGTCTGGGCTCTCTGTAGAAAAGCAAGTCCTCTTTGGAGAAAACCATCTGTATTTGAGGTCTTGCCAGTTTCTTCCGGTTTGCTTCATTGACCTGGGTGATGGTGTCACGGCTCCCTTTTGCCCAGGAGAATACTATCAAGGCCATTCTCAGTCTCTTAATGAAGGATGTGGAAAACCTTTCCCCAAACGTGGTCTCAGGGGAGCATTGCTGACCTTAAGTGGGCCAAAGAGAAGATGTATAAGGGACTTTAAGTAAAGTTCTGTCTTGGGGAAGAGGGAGCAAGCAGTCTTGTTGCTTGTAGTCCTAAAGTGGTAGAACTTGGCCAGTGGGTGGGTAGGAGTTGTAGAGAGATTTAAGCATCAGATAAAGAAGAGTTTTCTAAAAGAGCTTCTAAGAGGAAATAAAACTGTTTCATGAAGAGTGGATCTCCTAATCATTGGAGGCATACAAGTGTAAGCCAGACCCCCAAAGGCTAGTTACATCAGAATCACTTAGTGTGGCAGAGACAGTTCCCTAAAGCGCTTCTTTTTTCATTGTGAATAGCAGTCTCAGTTTTTAGCTGGATGTATGTTTGATCAGAATAGAGATTACAGTTCCTAACTATAGTCACCATGCTGTATATTACATGGACTTATTTTATAAATAAAGGAAACATCTAAAAGGGAACATTCCCTTTCCTCTAGATAATTGCTTTCAGATCTTTGCTGGAACTTGTCACCTTATCAAACAGCCCTTCCTTGATCATCACAGATCAGTTAATGTTTCTGCCCCCTGCCCCACCTCTAGCCATCATTCTTAAGCTGTTTACCTGTTACATTCATAGCACTTAACCCCAACTGATAGTCTGGAGTCTGTGCCTCTTGAGTCCAGTGGTTCTCAACCTTGAGCTTGCATCAGATTCAGTAGATCTGGGATGGAGGCCTGAGAATTTCTATTTCTAACAAGTCCCCAGGTAGTGCTGATGTCAGTGGTCTGGAGACCACACTTTGAGAACCACTGGACTTGTCTGTTTAGGTCACTGCTGTATCCCAGCACCAGGAACAGTGCGTTAAGTTGTGTTCTCTAAATATTTGTTGACTCAAATTGCAGATATCTCATTCAGTAGCTTTAAGGCAAGTACTGGTTATCCACATTTTACATATGGGGAAACTGAGGGTCAGAGTAAGTGAGTTGTCCAGGGGCACATAGCTAGAAAGGGTCAGAGTAGATTCAAACCTGCGCTTGTCTGTAACCGGGGAGCGTGCCCTCCTCAGTCACTATGCTGTCATACCTTTGTCAGGCTGGGGCTCAGTACAGTCTGGTTGAGGAGCAGGAAGAGGAGGACCTTCCCTGTCCTTGCAGAGGATTGGGAGGTAGATGGCAGCAGAGTGCCCCTCCTGAAGGGAGCCCAGTGGCTGTTGAGTTTGCAGCCGTCATATATGGGTGGCCACC